ATCCTTTTGACTGTCTGGTGTGGGTTGTGCTCTTTGGGGCAAAGTTGTTAAACTGTGAAGATTCCATGGTTGTGTACTGTCCAGGAGAGAAGAGCCACACCAAGCATAATCATTTTTCAAAATATCCTCTATTCTTGTTGACACAGTTCCATATTTTCATTGCCTAATGTACATTCAGCCAAAGACATTGAGGTTGCTGGAGATAGATGTGCTTTCTAGCGTGGACCGAGGACAGGATTAACACCAGGATGACTACCAGACCAACAATCAAGCAGTAAACAATACCCCAAAGAACTACCAACTCAGGCAAACAATCAAACAGTAAATAACAGCTTAATCAAGGAAACATCAAGAAAAAAAAATAACATTCCTACCAACATTGACAGGGCAAGTCACTCATATATAAACAGAAAAACCCCAGTCCCACTAGCACTGATGATGTTCCCTAATTGGTTCATAAAACATTTGCAAGAAAACCACCAAGCTCAGAGAGCACCAAAGATTCCCTAGCAAATGGATGGATGGATGGATGAGAAACCATCTTCCCTCCCAACACCAACAGGGTAAGCCACTGTATATAAACAGAAAGCAAACCCCACTCCCTTCTAGCACTGAGGATATTCCCTAGTTGGGTCATAAAATGTCTTCAAGAAAACAACCAAGCTCAGAGAGCACTAAAAACCCCACTGGGATCCGTGCATGGTCCAGGTCAATTTATACTTCAGAACGGAAGCAGCACCTGGGATGCCTTCCCTCCCAATTCCCACCAGGAAGCAAGTCCTTTGTTTCACCAAACCTCACACTCACTAGCCCTGATGATGTTACCTAGTCGGATAATCAAATATTTGCACACAAACAACCAAGCCTGGAGAGCACTAAGGACTCTACCCTTCAACCCTGAGCTACATACAGTACATCCTCTTCCATTGCTATGCACCTGAGGGCCAACAGATCCTTGATCCTGAAGGAAACTTTCTGTCTTCTTTGTAAGCAGTAACAAAGTTAGAAGTCTTTGGAAACTTCTTCACATCCTGCATCAGACAGAGCGACACCAGGAGAGGGAGCCAAAGACTTAATAAAGTGAAATATCCTTGAGTTTTTAAGCACAGCACAATATCTGTGCAAATTATTCTTATCTGATTTTTATCCTGCCTTTTTAAAATATATATACACAACTCAAGGTGGTGAATATATGTAGTACTCCTTTGACCTACTATTTTCCCCACAATCCAGCCATGAGGTGGATTTGCTGAGAAAGGGTTTGTCTATCTGTCTGTCTGATGCTATCTATCTATCCGTCCCACAAGGGAGTTTTCAAGTGTTCCTTCAGTCCAGCAGAGAAACAACCTGTGGCTACAAGCCAATTAATTCCACAATTTCAATTTTCATGTTTTGACCGTTTCCGTGAGAGCAAATTCTTTGGAAGGAACAAAAATTCCTTTCTACAGAAACAAAAACAAACGCCCTATTGAAATGTCACAAGATTGCAACATCACAACATAAACTGATTGTCAAGGGATCTGGCCTGCACCAACACCAAGCAAGCAGCTCAATCTGGACGTCCCCTGCCTGTCTTGCTTCACGTGCAACCACAGCCGACCCTTTGGAGACCTATAGATGGAGTCCAAGCAGGATGAACAGGGCCTTTGCAGAATACCTTTACTTTATGAAATAGCCAGATTTAAGTCTTGTTGAATTCATGGATAAGGAAAGCTTATGGGAGCTTGTATAATAAAGGTAGGAAAAAATAAAATAAATCTGAAAATATGTCCTGTGGTGCTTTTTTGTGTAAATGAACATGAGATTGAAAAAAATGGAAGTCAATGGACTGTAACAGCCCCAAATGATAGGCTTAGGGTAGGATAATAAAGCCCTGCCTGACGTTTGGTAGGAAGAATCCCAACGGAATTAATCTGTGTCCTTCATCCAGCTGTTCCAAACATTTTTTGGTTTGTTTGCTCTTAAAGCCCTGAATGGGATCTCGGAAAGGACACACTTATGTAGTTCATGTCCTCCTTCATGATTTGTAGCATCTTATCACCTTGCCCCACCATCGATGGGATGAGACATGACCAGCAAAGAGAGACTTTGTGAGAGCTCCTGAAAATGCTATGAATCCCACACTGAAACATAAATGCTAAAAAATAAAATCTTGTTCTCTCCTTTTTTTACATATAGTTCTGGAAACACTAGGTCACGATTTCATGTTTGCTTCAGGCATTTTTAATCCGTGTCTCAACTGACCACGTTCCTCGATCAGCTTCTGTGAGGTCTGCAACATTTGGAGAAGCTTATCTGCTGGTTCTCCAGAACTGCTCTGTGATTTGCAAATGGTCCTGCTCAACAGTTCAGATAGTTTATTATAAACACCATTTAGTCATCATTAATGGTCCTTTTTGTGATGTATTTTTACTGATGCTATTTTAAAGATCACCCAAATAGTTTGCAAATATTTCTTTGTTTGTTGGGAATTGTGTTGAAAGAGTTTAATTTTTCAGTCCAGCTGCTTCTATTGCTGATAGGTTGAGGAGAAGTGCTGGCTGAGGCCAACTGGCCCAGAGTCTTCTCTTCTGGGTTATATCTGGAGGCTTCTGGCAGGGAGAGTGTGCATTTGATATCTGCACACACAGAGACCACATCGTGATGGAATTCACTGGAGGAGACATTTACCAGAATGCATTTGATCCCAAAGTTTATCTGGAATATTTTCATTTTGGAAAAGGGTCGGTAGAAGATGAATTCCTGGAGTTTATTTTGAAATGCTTTTGCAAAATCTTTACTTCAGGTAAGTGATCCGTTCATTGCTGCAACTCTGAAAGGGGAGAAAGTTTATAAAAAGAAACAGACTGTAACTCCAGGGAAAAGGTCTTTGAAAGTTTTCAGCACTAGGTAAGGCCTCTGTTGGAAACTCTGAGCCGAGGGCTGGCTTATTCTTAAGCAACTTTTCGTGCCTCTGAAAGGTGATTTTTTTCAAGCTATGTTGAGCTCACGGTCTGCTGATTCAACGATCCTGTTGGCTTCTTATGCTTTATTTATTTCATATATGTAATTGCCCCATCCCTGCATTCAAACATCTGAAAGTGGTGAACATAACACCTAATAAAATACAACTGGGGGAGGGGGAGAAGATAAGATTCCAGTAAATGAATTTACAATGAATTAAAAGCATTCCACATAAATGTGCAGAAGTTTAAAAGAAATCAAGAAAAATTGGAGGAGATAAACTGTGTTCAAGTATGGGATTCACAGAGGACTTCGGTGTAGGGTGGAACTTCAAGAGGATCTAAAACACAGAGGTCTGCTGGAATCTTCCAAATATTATCAGGTATTCTCAGGACTTTTAACATCTGGGCTGTAAAAAATGGTTTCAGTCTTCCCAAGGATGATTAAAAAAAAAAGCTACAGGTGAATCTCCATTGCTTAAAGAAATTAAAAGTTTTCTTGATCCCATCAGTTCAACATCATCAGGGAATTCACATATGACTCTCCTTGGCAAAAGAGATTGGAGGAGATAAACCTGACTCTTTCCCCCTTCTCTTCCCCCTCCCAACCTCTCCTCTTCTTTATTCCAGGGGTGCTGAAAGGGGGCACCCTAATCGATATTGGCAGTGGCCCCACCATCTACCAGCTGCTCCCAGCCTGTGGGTCCTTCGGGGACATCATAGCCACCGATTATCTGGACCAGAACTGCCAGGAAATTACAAAATGGCTGAAGAAGGAGCCGGAGGCTTTTGACTGGTCCTCGGTGGTGCAGTATGTGTGCCAGCTGGAGGGAAACAGGTAGGGGGGCACAAGGATATCTGCCCATTAAAAAAACCCATGGGCTTAATTTTACAACTGATCAGGTCAAAGTTCCAGTGAAAGTTCATTATTGACTAATAGCAGGAATGGAGAAAAGCCAGCCAAGCAATGTTGACCGTTGAAACGCTCTGTGTGGTAAGGGAAAGGTCATCCTGATTAGCGACAAAAGGGACAGAAGCCAGAGGGAAGGGACCAAGCATATCAAGAAAAAGAGAGCAAGGAGAAAAAGAGAGAAAGGTGGGAGGGAATATTCAGCCCAAGCTGAGTGGGGAGTGCTAAACCAGCTCATTGGTGAAGCTTAGATGTTAACAACAGAAGAGAATATTTGTAGCCCAGGATTGAATTGTGGGCTCCTTCATGCTCACTGAGCTTGGTTGTTTGCTTGCAGATGTTTCATGACCCAACTAGGGAACTTCTTCAGTACTACAAGGGAGTGGGATTTGCAGGGAGGAGGAGGAGGAGGAGGAGTAGGCGGAGGAGGAGGACTGTGGGGTCCTTGGTGCACTCTGAGCTTGGTTGTTTGCTTGCAGACATTTCAGGAGCCAACCAAGGAACATCCTCAGTATTAGAAGGGAGTGGGGTTGCTCTCATTTTATATACTAGTGGTTACCTAGTTGGATAATGAAACATCTGCAAGGAAACAGCCATGCTCAGAGAGCATTAAGGACCTCACAATCCTGATGCATATTTAGCACATTTCCTTCTCCATATTTTTGAGCCCCTTTATTGATAGGAATTTCACTTTGGTAGCTGAGGGTGTCTATCTAAGGCTGCACATACCAGCTAAAGGGACTTCAATCGTTCTCAACATATTTTGGGTGTGCTGGAGAGCTACTTCAAGCCACCACTTCTAAGCTGGTTCAGTTGCATTCCACCGAGGTCTCAGAGCCATCTATTTATTGGCTTGTCGATGTCCCTCTAGGGAGACATGTGCAGAGAAGGAGGCCAAGCTGCGAAGAAGCATCAAGCAGGTCCTCAGATGTGATGTCCACCAAAGCAACCCACTGGCTCCCATTTCTCTGGCCCAGGCTGACTGCCTTCTGTCCACCGAGTGCCTGGAATCGGCCTGCAAAGACCAGCCGAGTTTCCAGGCCGCCTTGAAGAATCTCAGTTCTCTGCTGAAACTCGGGGGACACTTGGTGCTCGGTGGGGTTTTAGGGTGCACGTTCTACAGGGTAGGCCCTCATAAGTTCTCCAGTATGCTCTTCACGGAGGACATGCTGAAAAACGGCCTGAGTGCCGCTGGGTTTGCCATTGTAGAATTCAATGTGGAGCCCAGAGTTTTTAAGACCAATATGGAGGACTGTGATTTCTCTGGAAAGTATGTCATTCTTGCCCGCAAGGACAAAGAAGTGTAAACCTTGGTGGCTTTATTGTATCCTAAAAGCCACAGCATCACTTTGGATCTGGAATGTGCTTGTTCCAAGCCCGTCTCTACTGCGGTCTCGTCTCCGTTTTAGCTTTCTAAGTGTCACATGAAGGCCATGATAAGCCAGCTTATAGGCCAGTTGTGAGGTCACACCCTCAATAAAGATGGAAGAAGTTAAAATAAAGCACTTTCTAAAACAAGCACGCGTTGTGTTGATCTATTTTTAGTGAACAGTTAATGAAAAATAAACAAATTAGGCAGAGAACAATGAAGATGCCAGCATTCACCTGGGTTTTTGTTCTGTTCTGTGCGTTGATAAGGCATTGAGACGAAGCAGAGTAACAGCAGTTGCTTCTTTACTGAATCTCCAACAGAACCAAAACAAAATGGTGCAGATTCCTTTTATACCCTTTTGCAGGGACAGTGTCAGCCAATCAATGCAACATATTTCTCCTGCCTTGCGCATGCGCAATAGGCTGGAGACAGCCTGTCTGGCCCAGGCAGCCATGTGGTCTGCCCGGGTCTCTCTGCAGCTCCCTGCACCTGCTCTGTCAATCACAGGCCCAGGACATAACAGTTTTCATGAATGGGCCAATTTTATTTATTTATCTGTCAATGGTAAGTGTTGGTTTTTCAGTGAGCTTTAAAAATTTGGGCACCAAGATTAGCCAAAGTTTCTCTCAGGCTGCATTTACACCATACACGCAATTAAAATGGAACTTCTACATTTGGGTAAAGAAAGACGTCCTTCAATCCTCTTTTGTTTTTATGTCACAATTTCTACTTTGTTGTTCTGTGTAGTCATGATGTGATTTGCATTTGACAAACACAAGCCAGATGCTTCTCAGCTGAAGGGGAGGCCCTGGAGGACCCCAAGTCCCCTGGCCACGTCTGTCAAGATTTGAGGGGGAACCGAGGAGAGGGCGGCCCCCAGGAAAATCCATCCCTGCCTTTCATAGACTCAGAGGCCCCATGGAGGAGGACCAAGGGGCCCAGACTGGATTATGCCTGAATTTCAGGCAGCTCAGCAGAAGAAGAACATTTTGGCCTTTCCTCTGAAAATACCTCCAACAAAACATCTATTGCAGTGTATACTGATACGTGGTTGGATACCAAGTTTCTAGTCCAGCACCTCGACCTTTACACCTAAGTATCTCATTTTATGAGCTTGCACATCAGGATTACAAATTAACAAAGCAGTTGGTGGAGGTCACATGCTAAGCCATAGGTCACCATAGATAAGGGCTCTTGTGGGGCATGTTGTAGAAGGACTGCATTCCTGAAGGGGCTTTTCTTGGAGCCTCTGCATCTGACTGGCTGTTGCTCATAAAAGTGTTTGCAGATTACCAAATTGCTAGGTGTTTTGGAAGGGCAAAGATTCTCCCAAGGGGACTTTATTTTATTTTATTTTATTTTATTTTATTTTATTTATTTTATTTTATTATTTTATTTTATTTTATTTTATTTTATTTTATTTTATTTTATTTTATTTTATTTTATTTTATTATTTTATTTTATTTTATTTTATTTTATTATTATTTTATTTTATTTTATTTTATTTTATTTTTTTATTTTATTTTATTTTATTTTATTTTATTTTATTTATTATTTTATTATTTTATTTTATTTTATTTTTTATTTTATTATTTTGTTTTGTTTTGTTTTGTTTTGTTTTATTATTTTATTTTATTTTATTTTATTTTATTTTATTTTATTTTATTTTATTTTATTATTTATTTTAGACAAAAAAAACATACACGTCAGGAAAGTTGCATCTTTCTTAAACCTAGTATATCTTCTTTGTGGACATAAACCACGGAGAAGTTGTTTAACAACAAGAAGTTGTTAAATGAAGGGTAGCTACGTGGCCAATGTGGCTTCTTTCTCCATACCTGTCTCCCTCCAACTCACAGACCTATTTCATGATGGGGATCCAGTCAAAAGCCCCCAGTTCCTTCTTCAACCATTGCTGCATCTCCCCCCAGTTCTGGTCAGTGTAATCAATGGCTATGATCTCCCGGAAGGATTCGCAGGTGGAGAGGAAGTGCTAGATGGATGGGCCAGTGCCAATGTCGATCAGGGTGTCTCCCTGGATGCCATCTGGTTCATATCAACCCAAACACAATTTTTCAAGATGCACAATTTCCTTGACTAGGTTCCCCTAATATGGCTAACTTGCTGGCCTGTTTTGGGCAGGGTTGTGTTTTGCTAAAGTGCTTGAGATGTAGGCACACTTAGAAACCTCACCACTGAAGCATGATTTGTGGCAATGATCTTTCATGTCAGGCAAAAAAATTCAACAACACTATCGGACTAAAAATCGTCTCTTTATGAAATAGATACAACCCTCCTTTTTACATTTTTGAACTGGATACTGAGTGTATTTGTCCACTTCAGTTGCTAAACACGATTTTCAGCCTATACATGTTATTCATTTTCATACCCATTCTCCCAATGAAGGTTTGGGGAGAAGGGCTGTTGGCCTCACGTTGTGTCTTCCCACAGGGAAAAATGGCCAGAGAAGGAAGCAAAAGTCCAAAGAGCCATCAAACAAGTCTTAAAGTGTGACGTGAGCAAATCAAAGCTTTTGGCTCCAATGGTTCATCCTCCCGCAGATTGTTTGATGTCTTCTCTGTGCTTGGAAACGGTTTGCAAAGACCTCTGCACCTACCGATCTGCTCTGAAACACATCAGCTCACTGGTCAAATCAGGAGGGCATTTCATTTTATCCACTGTCCTGGAAGAAAACTTCTACATCGTCAGACAGCATACCTTCTCCAACCTCTACCTGGAGAGGGAGGTGGTGGAAGAGGCAGTGAGAGAGGCTGGCTTTGTTATTAGCTGGGCTGAAGAGATCAGGTTCAAACTGCACTCCTCAATGACTGATTCTAGGGGTTATGCATACTCCTAGCTCAGAAGAGCAGTATCTGAGATGAAGCAGCAACTAGAAGCTATTGAGGTTTACAGTTGTCATTATCACCGTTGTTGTTAGTTGTGAAGTCGTGTCCGACCTATCACAACCCCATGGACAACATTCCTCCAGGCCTTCCTGTCCTCTACCATCTTCTGGAGTCCATTGAAGCTCACGCCTGCTGCTTCAGTGACTCCATCCAGCCACCTCATTCTCTGTCGTCCCCTTCTTCTATTGCCCTCAATCTTTCCCAGCATTAGGCTCTTCTCCAGTGAGTCCTTCCTTCTCATTAGGTGGCCAAAGTACTTGAGTTTCAGCTTTAGGATCTGGCCTTCTAAAGAGCAGTCAGAGTTGATCTCCTCTAGGACTGACCAGTTGGATTGCCTTGCAGTCCAGGGGACTCGCAGGAGTCTTCTCCAGCACCATAGTTCAAAGGCCTCAATTCTTTGGCACTTGAAAGCTGTTCCAAATCAGTTGTGCTGTACTGAGAAAAGCACAAATATATAATTTGAACCAATAGAAGGGAATATTTGTAACTCAGGGTTGAAATGGGGTCCTTGGTGCTCTCTGAGCTTGGTGGTTTTCTTGCAGACATTTCATTACCCAAACTAGGTATAACATCATCAGTGCTAGAAGTGCAAATTCTAGCCCCTTTTAACACTGATGATGTTACCTAGTTGGGTAATGAAATGTCTGTAAGCAAGCAAGCACAGAAAGCACCAAGGACCCCATATTTGGTCTCAGAACTGCAGCTGTCCCTGTCAGGAATTTCCCAGATGTTATACTACAATTCCCATAATTCTTCTGCCAGTTTCCTATAAATAATGAAGACTACATTGCAATATATCTGTAAAGTCACCAAATTGGGACTCAATTTAAAATGCTATTGCACCAATGTGCAGGCACACAAATATAACACAAACACAGTCACACAGAGAGAGCCATGACTAAGAAAGATACAGGTAGCACCAGAGCAGGGTGGAAATGAGTTTGGTTGAGATTTCTGGCTGCATAATTTTAAATTCCCATTTGTCTCTGCTTACCTGAGTTCCATAAAGAGTCTATATGAATCTAGCTATAACAGAATGATTTATGAATGTGAACCTGTCCTCATTTTGCCGTCTGAAAATGGAGCAAAAATAAATGGATTTCCATTGTGTCTTGTCAAAGTTATTTAAGGGCTGATTAAAGAAAGGTTTTCTGTCTACATTCTGCCTCTATTCAGAAAGGTTGCCTCTAAACCAAAGCCATCCCTTCATTTCCTGAGATTGGAGGGCTTGTCTAGGGATTTTCAGGTGCCAAGAGTCATGGCTCTTTGTAGAAACCATAAAAAATGGGTTCAGAAATAACTCCCAGGGAAAGCTGGGGTTTTTTTTGGACAAGCCCAAAGAGTGCTTGTTATCATCCTGGACCAGCCAGGATTCATTACATCAGTAGGAATCCCAGAACTGGAAGCAATTCCTCAAAGAAGCAATTCAGCACGAGTAGAGAGTTTAAAATGAGACAAAAGTGAAGCTGGAGGTGGAAGGGAAAAGGTTCCCTGAAGTCCACCAGGGATGGAAGGCCAGTTACAGGCTGAATTGTTTTTCTTTCTTACTTTGCAAATGGAAGAATAACGTTGAACAGCCCAACAGCTCATTTGGAAAATGCTGTCCCGGTATCTCTAATCAGCCATGCAGGTTGAAGCTCAAGCAAAGATTTGCTTCTGTGTCTGGGTGGAAGTCCTGAATGAAATTAGCAGGCCATCTGTAGAGGTCCTGAAGGCATGTCCATGCATGACTTCAGAGCCTGAACTAGTCTTCTGCAAAATGGGGGAAGGGTGGCCTCATGGGAAGGACTCCAGGTAGGGAAGAAGAGGCCTAAAACTCTTCTATGTCTAATGAGATAGGAGACATGAATGGAGTAATTCTGCTTTCCAGATGCAGGAGAAGAAGCCCCATTTCTGCTGGACTTCCATCATCTTGAGGACAAGAGACGTTCCAAGGCCCTGTCATCCGAAACCTTTCGGAGAACAGAGTACATTCTTCAGATTTTCCATGGAAAGATTCTGCTCAGAATTCGTCCTGCTGGCCGGTTTAGAAGAACAGCTCCCGCAGCCCTGAGGATCGGGGCAGCCCAGGAGGCAAAACATGTTGGTTTTAGAGGGCATCTTCAAGGATCTTAGGTCAGATCAGATAATATCAGATTTAAGTTCTGACTGCAAGATTTGGAGCCAATAAGCAGGAAGTAAGAGATGAATAAATTAGGGTGAAAGCTAGGAGGGGAGCTGGACGTGTAAGAAATAGAGCT